TGTTGTTGCTGCCACCTCCTCTTGTGGCACCTTCACCGCATTACTTTCATCATTATGGCCAGCTTCGGTTTCCATCATCTCAGATATGCCCTTCAGCACCACGAGAGACCCGAAAGAACCAACGTTTGTTGTCCGTTCGTTGGCCCCCTCTGTGTTGGCTGCTCTGTCAATGCGTCGGACTCCATCACATTGTCGTCACCGTCCTTGAGTATCATTGTCGTATCCCCCATTGCGCTTCGTGGAGTGCTTTGTTGACCACATGCTTGCTGCTGTTCATTCGGGAACTTGGCCTGCGTTCGCATGTGTGTCAATTTCGCAGGCATCGTCCCCTCGGGCGATCGCAACAATGGTGTTAGATGCGATAACGTCTTGAGTCCTTAGAGAGGTGACACTATCGATTCCTTGCGCTGCAGGAGGCAGGTCGATTTTCCAATTGATGGAGCCGTACGACACACTTGATGGGAGGTCGTAGAACTTTGTGGTGAATTCTAGTTGTTTGTTCGCGCGCAGATGCTCGAACAAAGCTTTCGCCTTCGCTGCTATAGCCTCCTCGCTCGCACCGTCGTTTTCGTTCAAAACTTGTCGATGAATTTGCGTCTCCATCACACTGTGCCATATCGCAGCGTCCTTTTTCTCCTTTGCGACCCAGCCTCGGTCTCTTGTCTTCATAGCCATCTGCCATGTCCCTGCGAACACGCACGGTTCGAACACACCCTCATGCCAGAGGATATGATGACCCCAATCGTCCTCCGATGACTCTTTGTACTTGTCCTGCAGCAAGTATGGCACCGACGGGGTGGGGGCAAATCCTTGAGGCAACGGTCTTCATGGCACGAGCTTCGACTTGATCGCTGTGATGTCCAACTCTTCGTCGTCATCAGTGTCCATGGACATGACTGTTCTTTGTTCCGCTTGCATTCCACGTGTCGATGATAGTCCGGTTGTCGGCGGGCCCATTGGACACCCATTCTCTCCCCCCCCTGTGTTGCCCTGTGAGTTAACTGTCCCCTCGCCCGCACCCACCGGGTTTATCGCTACACCATTCCTTTCCCCACTTCCGGTGTTTCTTGTTTTCGCATTCCCCTCATTTGCATGTGTTGCTCCCATGCTCGAGCTCGGCCTCTCCGCAGGTCCATCGGTGCTCCCCTGCGGCTCTATTCCAGGCGCTCCCCCCACCGCACCTCGTGCTGCGCACGATGGGATGTCCAGGTCGGAGTCTGATGTGTCATCGTCGCAATCGATGTTCTTGAAGTTGTCGGCTTTACGTGCTAAGTCTGCATAGTCCCGGCTGTCCAGTGCTCTTTTCTTCATATTGAAATAGAGATGCTCGCAACGTGCGACGAACATGTGGAAAGCACCCATGTGGGAGTCGTGGTACTCGTTCATTGCCATCTCGATTTCGCTTTTCGTGAGGATGTAGTCGTTATCAAATGCCGACTGTGGAGCATCACCGAACAAGTAAGCCCACACTTTATCCCTTTTCCTACCGAGCTTGTAGTATATGTCCCGGTCCTTGCGGTGCTCGACTTGGGGTTTTTCGAACTTGCATTTGTTCCTCGGGTCCTTCACGTTGAATTCCAAGAACTTGGAAAGGTAGGTGAACTCCTTTGTCGTGTCGTCGCATGCAAACACGCGGTGTCCGGCCTTAGCCAGTTTCCATATCAGTCCCACATGTGCCTTGCCCAGCAGCATCACGCCGTCATCCTCCCTGATGAACGAGCTGCATAGCTTCTGGAGATGTGCAGGCTCTCGTTCCATCCAAGAATAAACCGCTTCAGTGTCGCCCTCCACACCGATACACTCCCCTGAGCACCTCACAAATTCACCCTCTTCAATGTTCAAATTTGTGATCTCCGCTCGCAATTTTGGCGCAATCGTTATATTGCTCAAGTTGCGGTTCTCGGCGTGGAGGACAATAGCCATCATATCAATATACCGAACCGCAATGTTGCCGTACTTGTTCACAGTCGTCGACAGTGTGTAGTGTCTGTACCAAGACCCGGTGAGCACCTCGACATCGTCCCACTTGTACACACTCTGCATCACCTGTCTCTGGTGCTTCATCGACGAGAAAATGATCAATGCCCAGTTTTTGCCACAACACGTCGTGAGGAAATCGTGCAGTCTGGAAAAAGCGCCATCATCCCACGGAACACGCTTGGGTGATGTTGACATATCAAGAATGGCTGCTCGTATCCTCATTCCCCTCGCCGTACCGGCAACCTCCTCGTTATCGGTGAGCACTCCCTTCGGTTCGATTTCATACGGCATGATCGTTGTGATCCTTTTCCCAACTTCCCAAAAGATGTGAAGAGCATTGCAGGACATCCGATTTACCTCAGCCCTGAGTTCGTCCAAGCGATTGATCGCCTCATAGATGAAACACTTGAGGTGGAACGGGGTTTCCTTGTACATGGCTTGGGTTGCCTCCAGCCCCGCACCGTTCTCGCCATTTATCTCATCAGGACCGCCCAAACGCCTCGGCACTTTCCTTGCCTTGTCGTCAGGGATGCGGTCGCGTTCCTCGGTCCATTTCAAGTCGGTGAGGCCGTTTTTTGCTATACCTCTCCATGATTGTCGTATAACCGATGAAGAAGTCTGCGTTCCACTCATCCTTTGACCTCTCCTCGACCTTGAACAATATGTAGTTGAACATGCGGACCATATATCTCTCTCGTCGAGTATATTTTACTAGGTCGGCCATGTTGCACCCTCCACGCGGCACCATACGTGATGAAACGATAACATCAGCACGCATCATGTGGTGTAGCGCCACTTGCTTCTCTCTCGCTGTCATATCCCCAAACAGCTTGAAGATGGAGGGCGTCAAGTCCGGTATAGACACCGTTGCGCCTGGAGGCCCCTTTTTGGCCTTGATGCAGTGGAACAATATTTTTTTCCTGGAGTTGTCCTTGACAAAGTACTGCCCCTGCAGCCTCCCTTCCACTTTCCCCGGCAGATCGATGTATTTCACACTGTCAACTCTTGGCAGCTGCCCTTCCTCGTACATTTAAAAAACTCTATCCACCAATGGCCACACCGTTTCGCCGCACTGCGCAAGATTCATGTATCCCCGCATCTTGTTCGTCCAGTCCTTGCAATACTCGTTCTCCAGGGACGACGTCACGAGAATGGAATCCGGTGTCGTTTTGCAGGCGGCATTCATGAACCCTTCCCACTTCTTTTTTTGTTTCAATCCTTCCACGTCTTTCGGGGACACTGTAACGAGAGTGAGGCTGAGGGTGAGCCGAGGGAGAGGAGAGAGAGAGGGAGAGAGTGAGAGCACACACACACACTCACTCACTCGACACGACGGACTCGGACTGAGGGTTGGACGCAGACACAGTGGCAAGGCACAAAGTCGGAGTCTTGGATTCCCAATGCCCAAACGGCAAGTCACACTGAGTACAAGTACAGCAGCAGAGAACTGGTACGAGACTGGTCCCCGTACCGTACGGGGAGCATGTATAAGTACCGGTGACACGTACGGTACCAGGGGCATTTCTGCAAAGGCCCCGAGGGCAGAACTGAAAAATGCAGTATTTGAAAGTGGCGCCCG